ATATATTATATATATATCTTAGTTTGTAATAGTTTGAAAAAATAAAACATTCTATTTCTATACAAAAATGTCTAATATTTTGTATTGTTATTCTAAGGATGAATATAGTCATGTTTGTTAATGATTTATTTATATTTATAGTTATTAATTACCTGATGAATAACTTACCTCATTAGTTTTCAGCTGGTTTGAAATGTCAGATGAAGTATTATCTGTAGATGTTAGAGCAGCATAGTCGTCGTCAGACGCAACACTGTCATACAAAGGTTCATCATCAGATACTTGCGATCCATGCTTACCAAGTTGCTCTTTACGAAGCATAGATACTGCAGGATCTAAAAAAAAAAGTACAGAAGATATAAAAATATAATAAATGATGTATAAAGTACTCTATCATAAAATAACTGTGTTAATAATTTGGTAATATTACTTTGAAGTGCATTGTTAGCAAGCGTATGTCTCCGACCTGCTTCAACCAGTAAATCTACGATAAGAGTGGTGAATTCCTTCGGCGTGAATCTCGCTAATTTTTGTCTCCCTTGGTTTCTAGTAGATGACAATTGTGGATTAACTGGCAGAAATGGAACGGTACATTTCTCCGGGAGAGATGCGGTTGAAAACCAAACTATGCATAAAATACGAAAATCTACTTGTCTGAGCATATTTCATATGTTTCAGTTATTGCTTATATACCTTGTACAACATATTACTAAATTTTTGCTGAGGTTTAAATGTTTACTCACCCTTCCAAAGGAATAGCACGACAAAGAAATGTATCATTAATTATCTAAATTAGTAACAAAACTCATGCTCTCTATTCGCAATTATAGCATATTTAATCAAATTTATAATAGAAAAAAAATATAAAAGAAAAGTGATACTCACTGGCTTCTGTTTCCCGGCGATCCACCTCATCGTAAATGTCCATAGCTAACTCCTCCAGCAAATGATTTGGTAACTAAAAAAAAATAAAAAAAAAATAAATAAATTTTATGACATAGAATAAAAATAAATAATAAAATATATGAATGTCTATATACCGTTTGTAATCTGTTTCTTCCTTCCAGAACTAACTCGTTTTTATCCAAAAAAGAAGACAAATCAGAACTAATGAGATGTTGATCTCTTCGATGATTTGGCTTACGAGAGCATATATGATATGTCAATCTATCTGTTACTTCATACATACATTCAATTATACGTTCAGATAAATCCATATGTCCCGCCATTCTGAAATGATAGAAAGAATGCTTAAAATAAATATTGAAATATTCTCCATAGATATTATTATCTATACTTACTTGGCAATATCAGCAGCTGTTTGCCCATTTAAATCTACTACACTTGGGTTTGCACCATTAACTACTAAAAGTTCTACTTGGAGAACTTGTCCGGCACGAGCTGCCACGTGTAAGGGTGTGGTTCCTTTCTCCTATACATACATAAACATGTGTAATTCAACAAAAGCATCTTCCTACGATACAGCAATTATGTGTAATACATTGATGTGTATTTTATACTTGAATATATATAAATTATTATTATAAGATATACCTTGTAAAAATAATTGGGGTTAGCTCCCTGTGCCAACAGTCTTAATGAAGTTTCTAAATTACTTGTACGAACACTACTATGTAACTGTCTATCGAGTTCCTCCTCAGTACAACATTCCTCCTTACTTGGCCGTAATATGAAAGTCAAGTGTTGATGTTTAGCCTTAATAAAATCTGCTTTTACTGGACTATAAGCAAATAATAAAGTAAGAAATAGTTATACATCTAGAAAATGCACAAAAACTTTGTCCATATATTGTTCAGAATAAATTCTAATCTACAAAACTAACAAATAACTAACAATTTCTATTTAAATCTGATTCATTCCAAAAACATCAATAAGTATCTGTTAATGAAAATTATATATTCAGCAACAAAATAAATATTGTGTATTGTACATAATGAAATACTAACTGTAAAGGATCCTTGGGCTGTGGTTTTCGTCTATTAATCTTGGAGTTGCTGGGATCTAGCAAGGAATGTTCCCAAATACTGTTGGCTCCGTTGTCACTCAATGTATGCACCATCTGAATATTGATTCAGTACTTTTAAAAGTGATTTATACACATGTGAAAATTTCAATAAGAGAGCATCTCTCTACATAACAATAGCTACTGCATACTAACGTTCAATAGATATGTATTCCAAACGCTTTTGTGTAATGACTTGATATGTGACACATGACGTCCTAAACTACGATGAATCCCACAACAATCGTCACATAATAAAATAGCTCTATTTATTGATGCCCATCCTGGCTCTGAAACAGCGCAATAACAGAGATCGATGATGTTCTCATAATTAAATGAGAGCTTGTTTTGCAAACTTGTAATATATAAACATAAAGAAACATTTAAGTTTATCTTAATTGCATTGGTCAGAATTCTGTAAGAAAATTACAAGACATGCGTATTCGTCTGTTATGTTGTAAGAAAAGAATGACGCGGTCCCACTGAAGCCATACGTGGCCGAGCCGAGTCGAGTCATTGTAACAAGAATGATTGAAAAGATGATGCTGTGCTCACCAAGTGTCCCGCAGTCAGCACATAAATCTGCACTCGTTCTGTGTTTAGGACGCGCCATACTAGACTTTTAATCGATGGCAATCACTTCTGTACATACATTACAGTATATTATGCTCTAACTCGATTGTGCGATTTGAGACGGTGAAGATGGACAGAAACGAAGACAAGAATAACAATTTGAAGTAAAGAGAAATAAAAATGTAAGACAGATCGTTTCATTACGCTTTTAATACCATTTACTACCTACTACCATTTACTAGTCCTACTACCATGATTGCTTATAGTCCCTAAAAAAACAGAGTCTGACCACAGTATAATGATATACACTATATACAGTAGGGACATGATGGTTTCCATTCAGCTGCGCATATTTGCTTGCGCATTATTAGCGACTATAGTTTTTGGTAGCACCAATTCCGATCAAAGCAGAGAACCCACAACAGTGTTGCCAGATGTAAGGGAATTTCCCGAAACCTAGGGAGAACTATAAGAAAAAAAATGAAAGAAGGAAAAAGGGATTTTTTGTGAAAATAATTTAAAATTTAAAAGTTTTTCACAGTAAATGAAAATTTTGTTTTATGCTCGGTTTTCGATCGGTAATTCGGTGGTCGGCCACCACGGTGGAGATAAATTATGTATGGAACACCAATTTATGTTAATTACTAGCCTTACTAATCTAATTTCTAATACGAAGTCTACTAGAAGTCGTAGCGAATAATAATGTCTTTAGTAGAAAATTGACCAATCAGAGTCGATTATACTTCTCATATTTAATTGTGATTGGTCAATTTTTTATGATTTAAGACGACTACTATACGACTTCCATTGTAGATCCCGTATTAGACTTATGTTAAAATCATACGCATTATTTGTTTCTTTAAAACTTCTCCAATATTGCACAATAAAAATATATTATTCATTAATTTATAGTATTGTATTATACAATATATTTTCTTTTATACTACGTTTACACGGCAATGGTAAAACCGTTTGAATAAAAACCGTTTTATAAAACTGGCCAATCACAATCGTCCATTCTTCCGAACCCCGAGGAACAGCTATGATTGGCCAGTTTCATAAAACGGTTTTACCAATGTCGTGTAAAAAACACATCTATGTTCTATTTCATATTTATTATAATTCCAAATTGTGATATATTGTATTAATAAAAAAATAATTTATGATTTTATTTTAATAAAATTTGTAAAAAAAAACAAAAATTTTGTGAATTTAAGAGAAATAGATGAAATTAACGGAAAATTTGGAAAAGCAGGAATTTTGGAAAAAACGGAAATAGGGAAAACTAGGGAGATTATCACATGTCAACAGGGAAATTGTAATCGCGCCATGACATATCACTGCGCTTGCTTAGCGACGAAACACTACCATGTCTCCTGAATAACTGATTACAGCAATTAATTTTATAAAACAACGTGATTGTGCGTGGGTGTATCTGACTGATCACCAATTTAGTGGAAGATTCTGAAAAGTTAAGATTTTTTATCTCTTTTTTTTGTTGAATATAGGCTGTGGTTCCTAATACTATTGATACGATATTTAGTCACCAAAAACATTGCAGATCCTGAAAACTCGTCTAAAAAAGATCAATGGTGCCGACGCTGCTTGTCTCTATTGTCATCAACAAATTACTATTAAGACTGTCAACCCTGGGCAAATTTTCGAATATGATACATTACAAAAATTAAAATCATCTCAATGTATTATATTGTCCAGTTTGCTATTCATAGCAACTTCTTTTTGTAACTGTAACAATAATCTTGCGCTGACATAATTCTTGTATATTATATTTTTTCTACAGGACTAAATTCATTTTTACATGTTATATTCTCTGATTTACATTATATCAAAGGAGATTATTCAAGCTAATCAATGACATTATTCAAGCAATTTAATGATTGACTGCAATTAGCTATTGTCATGCGACGACTTTTTCCAAGCTACATTATAACTGTGAACAGGATAATCGTTTTTATGTTACCAGCGTTTGTTAGAGAGAACGAAGTATAAATTTATATTAGGTTTTGTTTTTACCATTTGTAATATTGTATTATATGTTTTTAACATTAATAATGATTCGATCGCGAACGAAACGTTTGTTTGTTTGCTAGCACATTGTATTAAATCTTAATTAAAAGATATAATTGTTTCTTTTACTTATGTTCAAACTTTTACATTAACGATGTTTAATTTTGTAAAATGATTTCTGACTCGTAGCCATTTTTCTTTATTGATTTTTAAATTTTATTAGCCTTATTACTAATAGACATAAATCTATTTCATTTTAAGTTCAAAATGGAGATTTCAAGCAAGGCAAACAGATCTATTGCCACAAAATTATATTTTTTTCTCTACAGTTAGAGTAGAAATAAAAAACAGACCTCATGTACTATAAAATACACAGTTTCTGACAGATTGAAATTTTTATTGTTCTCTATTCCTTTCTTGGAAGCGAAATTAATAAGAGTCAAAAGTAGAGAATAAAACCTTTTTCTAAAAAATTATCAAAAATTTCTTTTACCATTAATAATATCGCACAATATTGTATTGCATAAAATAATATTTATTGTGTGAAAGTAACAATAATTACAATTACAGTTATAATCAATTACGGTATAATGGTAGATAATGCTGGAAAAGGATTTTGTTTTGATATAACTAATTTTTTATGCTGATAAGATATGTAACCTTTAATCTTGCCTTCAAATATTAAATTGGCAAGAAGACATTCTGTTTCATCCATATCTATATCCTCCATTCCATACATCTGTAGCGCCACAAGTAAACTCAGCACTGGTATTTGATGTGTATTTAACGCCAAGTATACTTTCTTAAATAAATTTCTATAAGCGATCAGTTTGAGTTTTTCCACGATTAGATATATGCCTGCGTCAATAAAAAAAGTTTCGTGTTTTGCCATTACTCCTTCTAAAGAACGTAAATCTCCTTTCCTTACAGATTCCATCAGCTCCCAAAATTCCATTAAATTATATTTCTCTAAGAGATGTTGCTTGGGCATATATCCCAGTAGCATCTTGACAGGTACAAGATAAGTCAAGATCAATCTCTTATTTTTTGAGCATTGTATGTGACAATGTTCAAATGCATAAGTCAGATATTCATCGGCTAAAACAATTTGATAGAGTATTTCTCTAATATTATTTAAGTAAAAGTAACAATCACTATAGTTTGCAAGAAGCAAAATAGAAAAGTATATTTACCAATCTTATAATCGCTGTCAAACATGGCTTTCCGGCCAACGAAAAACTTATAAGTAATTTGTTGCGCTAATGCAAAGTGATCTTTATAAGGGGATGATTCTATAGCTCGTATCAAAGGTTTGCACAAATGTAATTTATTAATTCTGAAATAAACTTTCAGTAATTGATTAATTAAGGCTAGCATTCCCCATCGTTTTGTGTCTTCTTCTGAACTTCTACTGTCAGCCGCACAAACTCGGAAACAGGCCATCAAGCATTCCGCACATTTCTCCAGGACTTCACCAGGCTTTACATTTTTATTGTTTTTAGAATTTTCTGCACCTATTGCCGATAATCTTAGTTCCAAACACATTACGTTCATTACTGGTAACATCCAATTTTCTTCTTTCTGCATTTGTAGAATCTTTGCAAGATACTGTACAGCAGAGCTTTGATAATTGTACATAGCTAAAGGATCGTTCTTGTTCATAACAGATACAGCTCTATGAGGAACAAAAAATTGATTGCACGCAGTGTAAAGTACAACATTTGAATAAGTTATAAAAAGAAATGTATTTTACTTTAAGTGACAAAGTACCAAGTCGTCTAATGGTGCAGATATATGCTCCATCGCTTTGTTTACGGCAGTTTCTGACCCTATTTGAGGTATTGAAACATGATTATGTCGCAGAGACAAGAGATCCTATGACAAAAAATTAACATTCACATGATTGATGTAATCCTAGAGTAATTACACAGTTTAGCACAATCATCTCAAAAATTAATAAAATCAGGCTTATTCAATTCGTTTTTGTATAAAATGAAAGAATCCAGAAATAAGCGTTACTCTTCTTCGCGAATCGAAATATTAAAGCCTGTTCTACAATGTGCTTTTTGTTTTCTATTTCTTGCCTTTTATTATTTTTTACATCTTGTCTTTTTGCTTCTTCCGGTTTTTTGTTTTATATCGCCCGAGATAAAAATTAACGAACTTTGAAAGAAACAAGAAATACGTAGCAAAAAATACAATTGTTAATAAAACGATTGCAAAGGAGAAAAAAGTAAAAGGTAAAAAACAAGAAACAGAAAACAAAGAGTACATTGTAGAATAGGCTTGAACGCTAAAGTTGACGACTATTGAAGGCAATTATTTAGAATAACCTTCTTCCCTCTCTCAACCTAAAATCTTAATAAAAATATACTCATTCACGCGTTTTCACTCAAAAAAGAATCTGAGGGAAAAATGCGGCGATCGGCCTTGTGAATCGAGTTATTAAGCGTTGAAGTTAGAGGCTTTAGAGGTTAAGATATCTGTCATTCTAACTCAATATAGCACCATGTATACGTTCTACTTCAATTACACAAATTCACTACTTTAAAAATCAATTCTCTGCTTCATAAACACGAATTCACTGCTTTAAAAACATAAATTTACTGCTTTAAAAACACAAATTCACTGTTAATTGAACAGAAAGTTCAATTGAACACAAAGAATTTATGTGCTTAAGACAGTGAATTTTTGTTCGTAAAACAGTGAATTTGTGGTCGTAAAGCAGAGAATTTATGTTTTTAAAAAACGTGAATTTTATGTCTTTAAAGCAATAAATTTATGGCTGTAAAGCAGTGAATGTATTTTTAAAAAAGTGAATTTGTGTCTGTAAAGCAGAAAATTTGTGTAATGCAAAATGTATACGTAGCGCTGTATCGATCGGGAAGACAAGAATCTTAACTTCTAAAATCTCCAACTTTAACGTTTAATATCTCTGTTTGCAGGGCAGAGTGACGCTTATTTCTGCCAGATTCTATCATTTTATGCAAAAACGCATCGAATAAGCCTTTTATTGATTTTTATTGATTGAGATGAATGTGCTAAACTTTATAATTACCAATCCTAGATGAAAATATTCGTGCATTATTTACCGCCAATCCTTCTCCGTCTTGATTAAGCCATACTCGCCGAATCTGCAAAATAAACAAGACAAAAAATAATTTTAATGTAATACATTACTGTGTCGGTGTTTATTATTCAACTTTACATCACACCTGCATTACATAAGAATCCATTTTAATTGTAATTAAAATATAAATAATAAATCTTTGCGGATA